TAGGATATCAAACGAATGAAATTATGTTGTGTAAATGGTAAAGCCCTTCATAGATGCAAGATTATCTTGAGAAAACCAATACCTTCTCCCTTTGTATTGCCTACATTTATGTGATGAATTTGGGGTCATGCTGGCTGTTACAGTTCAGCTGTTAGCTTAGATCTATTAGACGCCTAAAAGAAACACTCTTCCAGGTATAATAGGGTCACCGTAAAAGCTGAACTTCTGACATACAGGTGTGAATACTACTGTTACGAAACAGACGTACAAAGAAGAGGTCTGTTTCCACTTTGCAAAGACACTTCAGTGAGCACCTCTCCCTGCTTGGCTGACAGTAGTTCCTACCGCATTGAAATGAATGTCCTCCCCTTGTGTACATGACCAAGGGTTAACTGCTGGCAAGATCTTACAGATTAAGCCACATGGAAACAGCACACAAGGCTCAGTGGGTTAGACATACTGCAGAGCATCTGGATAAGCCAGATAATTTGTGCAACATGTTCTTATCGGCAGCCTTCTCTGGCCCATCTGTGGCTTACTGGAAGCTGCTTTTCGTGGAGTCTGTTTTTTGATATTCCACTCATTATTGGCAGAAAGCCAACAAATGTTTCAATTAAAGGGAAAGGTAAGGCAGTAATATCAAACAACCTATAATCAAAAACCAGTCAATGACACCCATCGGCTACCAAGTTTGTCTTAATCGTTAGAAAAGTTTAAGATCAAGACTCTGTACTGGAGCAAGGCCTGCCTTGGGGTCATCTTCCCAGTAGATCTAGGTCATTTGAAAAAATTTAGAGCCTTGAACTTTTATACTAGGAGAGAGTGTTTAAAAGTGTCCCAGGGCAAAGCAATGTTTAATCACGGATCTTCCCAACACACACAGAAGTTTCCCCAAGTGGTCTACACCAGCCTGGACCAGTCCACACAGTTGTGTCTTGGTGAGGTCAAACATGGCTGAATAAAGAACAAGGAGAGGCAAAGGATAGGTGTGAATCAAGGGTTCATTAATAAACGATTTTTATATTGGATGTCAGTAGAAGTTGTTCTGATACAGGTCTTATCCACTAGACTCCCATTAAACTCCCAGGAAAAGAATATGTGTAGGCCTAAAAGAGGAGAATAAGGCCTTGAAAGCTAGCAGACAATAATTTACTCATGCTCTTGTTTCACAGATTTCCACTTTCTCTTCACCTGACAATCCAGAATATACTAACATTTGCTCACTTGTAGACCGATGTATTTTATACCTTGACTCTAATACATCAACTCAAAGCAGGGGTCAAATAGAAGAATAAACTGATGGTAACACATGAGATTCTGCCATTCCAGTTTATTGAAATGAGTAAATTCATAGCTTTATTTGCATACAGAAAAAAGTGCACAAGAAAATAAGTATGTACAAAACAGTTGTGTGGCTGATCATCACTTTCAAAATTTTTCTACTTTCAAAAATTCAACTACCTAGAAATAATTGCCTCCAGTTTAGCACATTCAGGTATTTGGACACATAAAATACTATTTTAGGTCTGTGTTTATAATGACTGAGTAGGGAGCCGGATGGAAAATTATGCCATACATAATCAGCTATTACCATTAAAAATAAAACCACAGGACTTTAGCTTGGACTACTTGGGGCTGATCAATAAAGGTCCATGAGGCCACCATCTTGTTTAGATCCTGAGCAGTCATCCTCCTCTTCTACTTAAAGGTAACATTGTATGGTTGATTAACGCCCACAAGAACCTGAGCATTAGGGGTCAAGAGACAACACTGAAAAAACCAACATAAACATAACAAAGTGAAACTCATTTTGGCAAGAACAAATCCTTCAGAACTTTGCTAACAATATGACTGGAAATGAACTGGGAGAGTTTCCAAGGTTATGAGGAGAAAAGTACTGCAGACGTTAGATTTTCAATGATAACACCAAATACTTGTTTTACAGCTTCTCTCCCCCTTCCCCACCATTTATCTTCCTACTAACTATGAGACTGTGGCTTCAAGAAAGTTTTCCAGTTACTTGATAAAGGTCTAGCATGACCCCAAATAAGCACCTAATATGTTTGGCACAATCACATTGAACTTGGTGATGTGTTACTCTTCAGAATACAGTCCTTCATTGCTGAGTTGAGTTCAGTTTTTCTTCAACATTAACTGCTCTTCTGGAACTTCAGCTCAAGAGGATGGCCTCCTATTCCATAGAAAGGATAAAGGTTGTGCCCATTTGCAGTTCTAGTTACTGGGCTTAGCAATTACTGAGAAGGCAGAGACATTTCAGATCCATGAATCATTAGGTATTTGTACCCCATAAAACTCTGTTGCTTGTGAAAGGCAAGTAATGCCATATGAACCTAGGAGCAGAACTGACTGAAAAAAGAATCACAGGGAAGAGGAAAGGAGAGACAAATAATGCTTTTCCCTCATTTGCAGTATCTAGCAAGAGATTGGAAAACAAGAGCAGTCTTACCCTTGAGAGAAAATAATCTTCAGAAAGAGAAACTATATTTTTAAAAAGGTTCTTAAATGTGTCAGATTCCCAAGTGTCTAGAAGTTGGACTTGCTTCAAATTTACTTTAAAAATTCTCTCTAAATGTTGATATGAAGCAAGACTTAAGAAGGTGCCTTGTTATGCTATAACCTTTAGGTTCTTTGCAGTAAAATAGAACCCCCAAACAACTTGGAACAGTAAGGATTTTAAAATGTATTCAAAACAGTGTCATTTGAGGAGCTGTGATGGCTGCATCTCCCAACCAGAGGGTCCATGGTAGAGTGTTCTAGAAGGTTCTAGAAACACACTAGGCAACTGTTCAAATAGGGAAACTACTTCATTTACATTAAGCTAGAGAATTTAAAGTCTTAATTTATTTAAAGCCATAGATTCAGTTTAGCTTTAATCTAAACAGAAAGTGAAAGACATTTTACAAGTGGAAGAGGCAATAAGAAATAAGGCAACAGCTAATATGTCAAAGCTGGAACAAGAACAGAGGTCAAGGCGTCTGGATATTAGCTTTGTCCTTGACTAAGGCCAACCTTTTTGTTCCTCTGGATAGTCAGCATATCAAGTTCCTAGAGAAGTGTGGAGAAGAAAAAACCTGTGGTTAATATCAATGTGTTAAATATGAAGTCATCATTTAAAACATCAGTAATAGAAAAAAAATAAAAAAAATAAAACATCAGTAATAGGATCTCCTAGGGCTGATGTGAGAGGCTTAAATAAGATACTAAGTGTGGAACCTGTAATAAAGTGATTAATGCAAGTGTTCACTAATATTAACTTTTTTCTCCCATAACTGCTCGCCCACCCCAAAACCCAATCTGTAAGTTTAGCAAGTTGACCAAAATAATCCTTCTTTCATGACCTAAGGAAGAAAGGGCCTTCAGGGAGACCTCTAGTCAATTCAGTTTAGTGCAAACGATCCTCCTAGACTCCAGATACAGTTTATTCCTTTCTGTTTGTCCAGGTTTGCCTCCCATGGAGAGGAGGGTGAGAGTGACCTTCCGTTAAGACTTCTAGCCCTTCAGTATCTTGCACTGCTCTATCGGCATTAGAAATCACCAGGCTGCTTGTTAAAATGGACCTTTCCTTAGCACCAGACTCCTTGGGCTGCAGTGGGGCCCAAGAACTTGCCTTTTCTTTTTTTAATTTTTTTTTTTTAATTTTTTTTTTCAACGTTTATTTATTTTTGGGACAGAGAGAGACAGAGCATGAACGGGGGAGGGGCAGAGAGAGAGGGAGACACAGAATCGGAAACAGGCTCCAGGCTCTGAGCCATCAGCCCACAGCCTGACACGGGGCTCGAACTCACAGGCCGCAAGATCATGACCTGGCTGAAGTCAGACGCTTAACCGACTGCGCCACCCAGGCGCCCCAGAACTTGCCTTTTCAATAATCTCAGCCCGTTCTCTGAAGCAGATTTTATAGAAAAGCATTTTAAGAAACACTGTAATTATAGAAGGTGAGTGAGGGGCAACAATCCAAATTGCAAATGAAGCCAATCTTACTGTCTGTGTCAGATTTAAGATATTTATCTACTTAAAATAATTAAATTCTAGATGGGTCAAGACAGAATTGAGGAGTCCCACCTGGATGGGGCAAGACTAGAAAAAATGGGTTTGGGTTCCTTTCATTCTTTTTTATTGTTCTCCCCTACCAGCTATGCCCTCCCTCCTCGAAAATGCAGACAAGCCTTCTTTCCTCCACTAACTTCGATCTTCTAAGATGAGACAAAGTTGCTTCCATTCCTTTTTGATAAAGAAAGGGTCATGCTGAGCCAGCAAGGCAGCTAAGGTAGTTACACCTAATAACTTACCTACGATGACGTCCACTAGTGAGAACAATCAACCAGCAGACTCATCTGCGCCCATGCTGCTTTTGAAGGAGATACAGGCAGCTGTCACCACCTTTGAACTTGATACCCTCAGACTATTTTGGACTAACTTTGAGACCTCTCGCAAAGTAATAAATTGATTTGGAAGGCAGAAAATGTGATCAGCATCTGTTTAGCTGACCTGTTCTGTAGCTTAAAAGGTCTTCAGATTTCGAAACTTCTATAGGAAATAAAGTAATGCCTTTGCAATCACTTCAGTATGAAGGTTAAAAAAACCAAAACCAAACCAAACAAAAAACAACTAGAAAGGTATTATGTGGTATATGCAGAATCCGAAGCAGGCTCTGGGCACAGAGCTGTCAGCACAGAGCCCAACACAGGGATCGAACTCATGGACTGTGAGATCATGACCTGAGTTGAAGTTGGACGCTCAACCGACTGAGTCACCCAGGCGCTCCCTTATTATTGTTTTTTAATGTGTGTAAGAATTCTTTTCTTAAGTGCCCAGCTTATTCATTATTGAATTAGTTAAGCACAGATTCACGTGTCTATACCTTCTAAGTTACAGAGATTTAAGCTGGTACCAATTCTAAAATTAAAATTTCACCCTCATCCCCTGTGCCATGCTTTCTTACCAAACTTACACTTAGTAAGATCTTCTACTTACAGAAGTTAGGCAAAAGGATTTCCAAAAGGATCCCTATATACATCAGGAGATGTGGGTTGAGAAGCCATCTATGAAGATAAAACCATTCAGTCAATAGGGTTTAATTACAGTTATGAAGGAAAAAAAAAAAAAAACAAAAAAACCCTGCAATTAAGATTTCTCAAATTCCTTTAAAAATCACTTGGGTCCCAGAAAAATGAGATATTATATTGGTCTACAATGATTTGTGTTTGCCTGATTGTAACTGGTGACGCATATTTATTATTTATACTGGTGTTAAAGTTCAGATGAATTATGTCTGTCTCTCCCAAATGAAAGGTACTGTTGTTATGAGATAAAGACTGTGGGTGGGAAATCAGGAACTTAAATCTTTGAAAGATTTTTAAAGATAGTATTATTTTGCTCAATTTTCTCCCACAGTGCTTTTATGAGCTAGGCTAAGTGAGATACAAAAGACATTTTCTATATAATGCTCATTTCTCAAGCTCAGGATAGTAGCCCCTGGAAACATAATCTCTCCCCAGTTTGAGCCGAGGTTTTCACTGTGATGGTTCTCAATGGCAAAGCTTATTTAAATATCCTTTACCATCAAAGAGTTATTATTCAAACAAGGTTAATTCACAACACAGTAGCTCTAGGTGGCACGTACTTTGGAGCAACAGCTTCTAGCAATTGATACTTACAGAGGCTTGTGATGAACTGAAAGAATCTTTAGAGAAAGGGTTCTCAAATGCATTGTCAGCAGATTTGGTAACTGGCAGGGAACCCTGTCTGGGAACCGGCTTTGGTGGTTCTAGAAGGGAAAAAATGCCAAGTAGTCAGTAGAAAATCTCTCCCCAAATATAGGCAAAAGTCCCCCAGTCAGGCTTATCTCAGAAATTAAAGTTCCATACTTTTGAAATTTACATCATGGAACAAAAATCACCATGAAATACTAGGACTCCCAGTGATTATTACAGGCAAATTCATCACAAGAGGCGGCTGTGCGTATTGACCTGAAGTGGAAGAGATTCAGAATTCCCTCACTTAAGGCCGTGTAGTATGGCTGAGGCTCTGTTTTACAGCCTTCCAGGTACCACAACCCACTGAATTTCAATAGTTCTTGGCAGCCCTTTTAGGGATTGTCACAAGAGGGCAGCATTGGGCCAGCCCTTAGAAAGAGCCAAGGTAAACCGTTC